TGCACCACAGCGTCTGGCCCCTGGTCCTGGGATTACAGGGGTGCACCACAGTGTCTGCCCCCCTGGTCCTGGGATTACAGGGGTGCACCACAGCGCCTGCCCCCCTGGTCCTGGGATTACAGGCGTGCACCACAGCGCCTGCCCCTTTAAAAAGTGGGTTCTGGAGGTGAAAATGGCATGGGGATAACTTTACACGCTGAGCTATTTTCCTAGCTTGGAAGCCTGAGAATCTTGTCGGGAGAGTCGTCGTCACGCCGCCGTCTCTCTGCTCCCATTTCCTCTCCTGCCTGCCATCCCTCCCACTCACAGCCATAAATCTGTCTCTTGGCTGCTTTTAATTTTCATTTTATTTATTTACTTGCTTGTGGCTGGGGTTAAGAGTCAGGGCTTTGGGCATGCCCGCAGCTATTTTACTGGAGAGCTGTTTTTAAATCTTGGAGAGAGGCAGAGAGTCAGGTGTCCTTTTCAGATGCATAGTTTATTGTCCATACATCATAAAAGAGGGGGAGCAACTCAGGTGAAATAAATCTAACAACCTGACAATCCAGCTCTAAGTGAAGACACCGAGACCCAGAGGCAGAGTTCACTCGGGGACAGTTGGGAGAGGTGGTGGCACCAAGCAGGTTGCAAGTCTGAAGGCCCAGTGCCCACAAACCCCCACGGCCACACCCACGGGTGGGCAGGACAGTGAGTGGACGCTGGCTCCATTGCAGATGTCCCTTGAAGGTGTCGGTGGCCAGCTGACACTCAGTTGTGCTTAGTCAGGTCAGCCGGGGTGCTAGACACTCAGCCCCCACAGGGTCAGAGCCAGCCCATCGGCAAGAGATCTGGGGAGACTGGTCACCCGAAGGGTCTCTTGTTGCTAGAGGACGTGTATGGCTCCCGTGTGCTGAGGTGCATTGGAGACCAGCATCCACTGAGCCTTTTGAATGAAACCTGGATTTTATGACCCTTCTGAGGCTTGTCTTATCTTTGCAGACCTAATTGGTGTGGGTCACCTGATCCCAGGATGTTGCTGTCAGCACATCCTAATGTCAGGACACTGAACAGGAGGGCCTCCATTTTGTCTTTGTTTTGACCTAAGTGTGTAGTCACTACAACTTGGAATGCCGCGAGTCACTTGTCGGTCTCCACAGGTGTCTGTCTGTCCAGGTTGGTCTGCCAATTGAGTGAGAAAGGAAGGGCTTTCTTTTGAATTTTTTTCTTCCCTTTTGTAGTAGAAATAAGAGGGCTGAATTTTACTGCTGAACACACCTGGAGTTTGCTCTGATTTTCGGCCAGTCGCTGGCCTGCTTGGCACATGCGTGGAGGTCACGGGGCTACAAGCCAGTCGAGGCTCAGCTTACCCTTGAGCACCTCTGTCTGGTTTTCCTGTTGCTCTCAGCTCAGTGCATACCTTTCTGGCCTTCTGAGTGTATGTTGAGGAGGGCTCATGTGCACTTTGCGGTTGTATTGTAGACATGGCATCTTAATCCTGTGAGATGCTCTGGGCAGCAATGTTGCTAGATTCTGGAAAGAAAGCTTCCACCAGAATGGTCAACTACCAGAAGTCTGCTCGCCTCCATATTCCAAGAGATCCAAGGCATTTCTTGGTGCTGTTTGTGGGCCTGGAGGTGGTTCTTCAAGCTGTTGTTTGGACAGAATGTGTGCTTGTGTTGCCCTTGAGAAGTTTGTTTATGCATTTTTTGTTGGCTTGTTGAATGCTTTGGCAACTGGTATCTAATAGACATTCATCTTAAGTTATTTTTTTAAAAAAAAAAAAAAGATCATTGAATTTATGTACTGTAAAATTCACCTGTTTGGTTACACAATTCAATGGATCCTAGTATTTTACATAATTGCGTGTCCTTTATCACAATCTAATTGTAGAAATGCCCCCCCCCCTTGCTTTTGCCTATTAGCAATTGATTATTTTCTCCCTTCTTCTCACAATGTGCATACCACATGAGTCTGCTTTCTGTCTGTGGGTCTACCCTTTTTGGATAGTTCATATGAATGAAACTGTGTAGCGTGTAGGTCTGGGGTGTTGACGCTCAGCTTTCAGCTCTGCAGCTCCTTGGCAGGCTGTACGGAGCCCAACGGTGGGGAGAAGCATCAGGTTTTAGTCAAGCCGAGGAGGGTTGGGGCTGCAGTTCTTCCAACTCACGATGTGATCAGTGTGAACCATGACTGGCCTCCCTGAGGTGTGCAAAGGACACTCGAGGGGTTAATGTGCCTGGAGCAGCCGGCACTGGGACCAGTGTTTCCAAGGAAGGAGGTGTCTGATCATGAGCTGGGAACCTGCTAGCATCCTCCATGGTTCCCACCAAAGGTGAAAGCACAAGATGGCAGAGTACATTTCCTGTGGCTGGGGAAACCTGAGCTTCATCCAGAGCAGCTTCTTAAAAGAATTTTAAAATTGCATTTGGTTAATTGCACATGCCTGTGTAAGGGTCACATGTGGAGGTCAGAGGACAACTTGGGTTTCTTTCCACCATGTGTGTCCTAGAGGTGGAACTCAGGGCATCCGCCAAGCTTAGCAGCAGGCACCTTTACCCGCTGAGCCATCCCACCTGCCCCAGAAGAACTTCTTATTTAAGTGTGAGCGACAGAGGCATGCATGTGATGTGCGCAGACTGTTGTGTATGACGGACAGAGGACCTGGGTATTGTTCTTCAGGAGCTGTTCACACTGTTATTTTGAGAAAGGATCTTTTACTGGGACCTGAGGCTTGCCAGATTCATCCAGGTTAGCCAACCATTGGGCCTCAGGTCAGGGATGCTTCCTCCTCGGCACTGTGATTACAGAGTGCACATTGTCACACACGGCGTGGTCCATGGTCTGGGCGTTCAGTTCGGGGCTTCTTTCTTCTACAGCAAACACTTTACTGACTGAGCTGTTTCCCAGCCCAGGTTTTGTTCTTTTGAGAGAGTCTTGCCATGTATGTAGGTCAGCTCAGGCAGACCTTAAATGTGCAATGCCTCTGCTTCAGCCTTTCGAGTGCTGGCGTGCGTAACAGGTATGCAGGACCACAGCAGGTCAGAGTTCTGAGGGCAGTAGATAATGGTGCTCTTGCATGGCAGTATTCCCTCAGTTCTACGGTTTGGAACCACCCATAATGCTTACCAGGGTTGTACTGATTCTCCAATGATAGAGTTTCGAGTGGACTTGCTAACCAAAGCTTGTGTGTCCCTCAACGGTCATCAGAAAGAAAGGATGTAGGGTTATAAGTGAGTACAGTTGTTCCAAGTCAAATAGAGAAAAAAGATTAAAAAAACAAGTTTTAGATTATGCTGAGATGGCCCAGTGGGCAGAGTGCTTTCTGTGCATGCAGATCTTAGTTTGAATCCCAAATAGCCACTTCTGTAACCTCAGTGCTGGGTGTGTTAGGAGACAGGTAGGTCCCTGGGTCTCATTGACCAACCAGTCTAGCAGAGCAGCACTCTCCAGGTTGATCTGATATTCTGCCTGCAAAACCCCACAAAAAACAAGGTGTGAATTGATAGAGGAAGACATCTGAAGTTGACCTGTGACTTCCCAATGTGCACACAGGTGAGTGCACCTGCACACATACACACCTCCCTCCCGCCAACCTGAGTTTTAGTAAAAGTAAATGGAATTAGACGTTCAAAATGTGCCAGGGACAAGGAACAGAAAAATACCAAGTTCTAGCAGCCTGTCTTTGGGCTTTCCTAGATCATGGAAGGTGTGATTGTGAACTGCCTCTAACACTCTCTGGTTGCTCCCTGTAGGGCACCATTCCCAAACTCACTGCCAAGTCCAACTGTCGCTATGAGGTTGAGTGGGTCACGGAGTACGCCTGCCACAGGGACTACTTGGAGAGTGAAACCTGCTCCCTGAGCAGCGAGCAGCATGACATCAACATTGACCTCAGTCCCTTGGCCCACCAGGAAGGTATGTGTGTGGCTACCTCTGTTCTGTCTTGTGCCTCACAGGAGGAGCCCGGCTGTGAGAGGGAGGGGAGAGATGGGCTTGGGCTACTTAAAAGAAATGCCACGCTTTCTGACGGGTGTGAACAAACATTCCCTTGTTTGTCCTTTCTCTAGGGTCCCTCTATGTTTCTGATGGGAGAGAGTATACGTTTTACATGAATGTCTGTGGGAACACAAAGGTCCCACACTGCAATAACAAAGATGCTGTTGTTTGTCAAGTGAAGAAGACAGATTCCACTCAAGTCAAAATAGCAGGAAGACACCAGAACCAGACCCTCCGGTGGGTGATTCTCAAGTGCATTGTGTGTACTCGTGGCCCATGGCCCTCCCCTCCCTCTTCCTCTTCCCATTTCCCAGAGCACAAGAAAGTCAGAGCCTAGCATGCCTTCCTGTGAGACGTGGGCAAGTTGCCATTGGTCCCTGAGCAGTTGGGCAGCTTCCTGCCTTTGATAAGGGTACATCTGTTAGAACTATTGGTTTGTAGATGTATTGTTTCTAAGAACTGTATTGTAGGGAATTTAGGTAGTTAACAGTTTGTATGGCTATTGTTTTTGAAATTTTTTTTTTTTCGATAAGTCTTCTTTTTTCTTGTTCTTTTTAAAATCTCCTCTGGCAGTTCGAGAACCTGAAATACCATTAGCAGTATAGACAAGTTTTAAGGAGCTAAAACCCTCCCTTAATGTAATTCTCAGGACCTTAACTTGGCAGCTGGCTTCCCAAAAGCAGCACGGAGAGGCAGTTTGCTGAAACTGAGTCTTACACCAGGTCTTGTCGAGATGGCGCCTCTGGAAGCTGCTAGCGAGGCTGTTTAACGTGTGGACATTATTCATGTTGCATAAAGTCCCCGAGTGACAGCCAAGGCAGTCTTCTGCTGCCAGCAAAGTGGCCTCCCTCCCTCTGGTCCCTGACTACTTTACAGCAAGAGGCCGACAGCCCGAGCATTTGGAACTCATTTCCGCAGGACGCTTGCCCAGCTGGCTGGGGAACCTGCTGTTTTATGTCAGGAGTGATTTGTGAGTGGTGTGCAAAAGGCCTAACAAAGCAGTTTTTGAAACCTCAGGTTTCTTGGTTCAGTAAAGCACTGTGTGTTCACGAAAATCTAGGTACTCAGATGGAGACCTCACCTTGATCTACTCTGGAGGTGATGAGTGCAGTTCCGGCTTCCAGCGAATGAGTGTCATCAACTTTGGGTGCAACAAAACCGCAGGTGAGTGAGTGTGCACGCCCCCCCCCCTTGTGTTAAGGGGCTTGTGTGTGTACGTGTGTGCCTTTTCTTGGAAGTCGATTCTGAACAGGGGAGTGAGTTGGCTGCCTTTGGGCCTGGCGGCCCCCAGTCCCCAGGCTTCTCTTGTTACAGGAATGTCCTCCCTGCCCCCACTCCCCTCCAGGATGCATACATACATCCTGTTTCCATCGTCCTCTGCTCTCCGTGTTTGTTTTGGGAATCTGCCCAGTGCTGGGCTTGCTGAAGAGAGTCTGTGTCTTGAATTCTGCTGTAGGCACGTTCAGCAGAGCAGAGGGGCCTTCATTTAGCAGCTTCAAGTGTGAGCCACTTCTTTCACGTCGTAAGAATTTTTACAGAGCGGTCGATTGGTAGAGTTTGGACTTGGGAATTTTGGGGTGCTGCTGGATGAGTCCCAGCTGAAGGCGTGACTCCCTTTGGGTGACTAGAGGGCTCCCCTAGTCACTGGCTTGGGTGCTCATCCTATCCTGATTTCAGACATTCCTAGCACCGGTAGAGAGATAAGGTTCTGTTTTTAGAGGTCTGTCTTGTTCAAGCACCTCTGGCTGTGCCCCAGGCACCCCTGGCTGACCTGCTTCCGTACTTGGGCTCTCTTCCTGAAACTGGGCCTGGTTTCCATTCTCATCTGTGTGCGACTGGCCCAAGCTCTCAGGGCTGCTCCTTGAGGGTGTTTGTTTTGTGTGTTTCTATGGTCAGTCTCCGGTGGTTTGATCGGGCCTGGTTCCTGCATGATTCATAGTAGGATCTGGGAGCAAGCGCTGTGCCTGGAGTTAAGTCCTCATAAACCTGCTAGTTTCCAAGCAAAGGGCCCTGAGGGCTGTGGGTCACTGGGGCCCTCTTCTTCCACTGGAGTCTTTGATTGGCTCTTTCTTATCACTCACAGTGCTTGCATGTTTCCATGCCTGTTTGCTAAGGCCCTCTCCACAGGGGCCTGAGGGTGACAGATGGTTCTCAGGGAGTAAACAGACTGAAAACAGAGATAAGGGTTTTTATGGCTGAGTATGGGGTAAAGTACTAAAGTTAAAGTCTATTGTTATCTGCCCTTACCCAGGAAGGCTGTAGGTCATCTAGGTCAGTGGGGTAGGAGAGCAGCCAGAGGAGAGGTTGCCGGATGGGGACAGTGAGCCTGGTGCCCGAATGGCTACAGGGCCCAGGATGTGGGGTCCTCAAAGGCATGGACTCGGGATCTGTGATCAGGCCTGTGGCTATTTGCCTAGACAGGCTAAGTAGGAGCCTGAAAAGGCTGGTAAAGTTCATGTGTTGCAGAGAGGCTGACCATCTCATATAGGGTGAAGTCACGGGGAATCTCAGTAGGGCTGTGTGATGTGCCTGTGGCTGAGGAAGAGAAATAAAGTGGTTGTTGGGTGCCCCCCCCCCACCCACCCACATCCCTTCTCCTGCTCTCCGTCCTTACCGGGATGGGCCTCAGGCAGCTTTCTCCTAGTTCTGGATCCTGTTCTGTCCCTGATCCCTGGGCCGCGAAGCCTGATGTTACTTCTGTGTCCTCAGCCAGCAGACACCAGGCCGGTGCCAGCTCCTCTGGTCTCTCCTCTGGCTTCAATTACATTGTCGGGTGCTCCTGTAGTTCTGCTCAGGCCTTTACTGCAGCTGAGCTGAGAGATCTTAGAGCTCAGGCTGCCCTCACTGTGGATGCTGGGAAGGTGGAGTGATGAGTCAGCAGAGGACCTAGGAGGATGGAGGAGTCCTGGGTGACTGAAGGCTCTGACCATGTAGAGCTAAGGTTGAGTGAGTTAAGATTGGAATTCATTGCCAAAGGCCTTTTCAGAACATAAAACTGCCCAGACACCACACCTCAGGGATGCAGGCAGACACGTGGGAGGTGCAGCTAGCTGGGATTATGAAACTAAAGGTAGAAAAAAGGGCAGCTTTGTGCCAGTGGCCCACCAGCTGGGAAAGGCCAAGGGATAGGGTTTCCAGAGGGAGGGGCAATGCTCTGCCCAATCCTAGGCTCAGAAGAAGTGGCCTCTGAAGAGTAGAGCTATGCTGTTCTGGGCAATGGATGGGGCCTCTGTGTGTGGAGGACGGGGTGGTGTTGACTCCAGTGGGACCTTACAGACATGTGTCCCGACAGGTCGCAAGTGTGGGTGCCGACAGCATGGGAGGTGCCTTGAACTTGTGGGGGTCATGTGAGATGCTGCCATGCTTTAGCTGAAGTAACTGCACAGGATGTCTGTGCCTTGCCTCCATTTGCCTCCATGGTGCGGGTGTTGGGGAACCTCAGGTCTTGCTCATCATTAGTCTGTACTCTTGGAACTGGGGCTCTGGTCTCTGTCCTCTTTTCTTTGTACATGTTACCTCACAAAGTTCTCTTTCCATCTCTTCGCTGAGATACTATCTATGAGCAGCTTTCTGCAAAGCCTGTGGGCGAGGTGGCCTGCCAGCTTTAATGAAGTCATTCTAATCCCTGGACAACCAGCTAGACAGCTGCCATTCATCCTGATTTCTGCTTCTTCCCTGGCTCTTCCAAAGTTCCTGCGTTTGGGGGCCCATCACTGAGTTGTATGCTTTCCTGTGGCATTGCATGTGTAGGTAACGACGGGAGAGGAGAGCCTGTGTTCACAGGTGAAGTGGACTGCACCTACTTCTTCATGTGGGACACTAAATATGCCTGTGTGAAAGAGAAGGAGGACCTCCTCTGCGGGGCCATGGATGGCAAAAACCGTTACGACCTGTCGGTGTTGGCTCGGCACTCAGGTATTGCTTTCCTTTTTGGGGAACCACAGGATAGTTGACCCAGTGGTTTGGGGAAACCCTTTTAATTGCCAGCTGAGTCACGGCCCCCTTTCCCTTCTAGCAGTAGCACAAACAGTGAGGAGCACTGAGTGAAGAGGTGGACGACTGCCTCTGAGCCCCCCTTTCTAGTTGTGTTGTCTTGGTTCACCTCCCGGTTCATTTAGAACTCCAGGGACCGCCTGTGCCAGGCCTCGGGCTCTGGGTCAGAGACAGTTAGTTCACGCTCGCAGCCTTTTGAGGCGGGGATTGCGTTTATCACAGGGACGGAGGAGGCTGGTGGAGCTGGTCTCCATAATGTCTGCACCCAGTGCTTCTGCCCTTTTATTTGACTGCCTCTTTGCTTTCACTGAAAAGGGGTCAGCATGTTTCTGGTCCCTAGATCTGGGAGGGTTGTCCAGCATGGGTGGCACTGTGCACCAGAGCGTGTGCCAGGGTGAGGGTGTCCATCCTGGACACTGGTGGAGCATTTGTCATGTGGAAAGCACTAGGACGGAGCTAGTGACTGGCAGCTACCTTCATGGGTGGCCTCCCGCTGAGAATAGATGAGGTAGGAATGAGAGAGAGCTGATGCCCAGAAATGCCCGGCCCTCCTCGGGGATTTCTAGAGTAGCTTTGTAGGGCCTTGTAGCTCCTAAGATAGAAGTAACTTGCACCAGTGCCAGCTGTAGCTACCTATCCCCGTTGTCTTTGGAGGCCCATCTGTTTGAAAAGTGCTGTTGGAGGAATTCAGGGTCCACAGTAAATGATCTGTGTCAGCTAATGCTTCAGCAGTTAGTCATCTTCGTGGTTCAGTCATTAAGTGTCCTGGAAGCTGTAGGAACACAGGAAATTTCTACAGGAGTTAAAATAGCCTCAGGAAGCCGTGGTTGAATCCCATATATGTGTGCTAATGAAAGGGTGGGTTTCTGCAATGTGGAAAGCGTTGTCATCTCTGGAATAGAACCCTGCTAAGACTTCTGTAGTTCTAGCCAACAATGTGGGCTTCAGAGAGATTGCCAGGCTCCAGAATCTTAAAGAAAGCAGGAGTGTGGTGGGAGGAGGTCTCTAGTCGACATCCCCTCCCCTCCCTCCACCTCATGCCTTGTACTTCTGAGCTACGCATAGCCCCATGAAGTTTTCTGGTTGGTCTTTGTTTTTTCAAGGGAAGAGGGCATATTGGCTTATAGTTGAAGAAGGGATGCAGTCCGTCATGGCGACAGGAGCATGGGTGACTGGTCACGTCACACCTGCAGTCAGGAACACTTTTTTTTTTTTTTAAAGTTTTAAGTATCAGTGTGGTTACAAGACAACTTGGGATCTTGAGGGATGCTGCAGAGATGCATTAATTCACTTAGCAGACTTTGTGCCACAGCCTGGCTTTTGAAGACTCTGGAGTGTTTTTGTAGCATTTGCAACCAGATAGACCAGAGGATGCTGTGAGCTGAGAGTTGAAATCTTCCATGCTGCTTCAGAAAGTCCCACCCTGGAGACTGCAGCCCACTCCCCCCTCCAGCCAATGCCCTGTGCTTTCGGGGAAACTTGGGCACACACACTCTTTCAAGGTTATGGACTTGGGAACCTAGCTTTCCAGAAGCACTGTGTTGTCGCTGGCAAGCTGTGGCCTTTTACTTCTAAGTGTTGGCTGCCAACTTGCCAAGGGGATATTCCAGATAAGAATATCTGAATATTCCTACCATCCCATACACTGGCATTGTGTATCTATCCTGCAGTGCCAGTGTATGGGATGGTAGGCACAGTCTCATGACTGCTCTTCTTTGCCTAGTGTCCTTAACACCCAGCACTGCCCGCCCCCCCCCCCCCCCCCCCCCACCCCCGTTTCCCATCAGCGTCTGTTCACTTGGTTTTTGGAGTCAGTGGAATCTTCCTCACCTTCTGTGAGCCAGACCTTCTGTCCTTCTCCAGTCAGCCTGTGCATAAGAAAAGGCAGTAGCTTTCTTAGCTGCACAGGCCCTAGTGGGACCGGAAGCTCAGCGTGGGACCAGTCAGTTCCCTTCCACCAGGCTCCAGACAGCCACTGGCCTCGTGGTGTGGTTCAGTCTTTGATTCTGTGCTGTAGGGTGTGTGTGGGAGAAGCTTGTGGTTTCATTCTCCAGAAAGCACACTGGGAATGGCCTGTCCCTGACACACGCAGTGAGAAAGTGAGGCGGACGCCACGACTTTCTAGGGAGTGCTAGGCTCGCCTGACCTTGGCCTAGTTTCTGTTTTAAGATGTGACCACAAGGAAAAAGTCACCGAGGACTAAAGGACTCTGGGTTTGGTTGCAGAATCAGAGAAGAATTGGGAAGCAGTGGGTGGCGGCCAGGCTGAATCAGAAAAGAAGTATTTCTTCATCAACGTCTGTCACCGAGTGCTGCAGGAGGGCAAGGCCAGGCGCTGTCCTGAAGATGCTGCTGTGTGTGCTGTGGGTGAGTCACGGCAGAGGGGAACCCTCTTTCTAAGGGTGTGTGGACTCTAGCTGCTTCCTTGGGAGAGACTTAGAATGTGGCTTGCTTAAGCCTCCTGCCTTTGGATGTAAATACTGAGGACAATAAAGCATTCTACAGTTTCAGTGTCAGAACCAGTGCGCCCTGAAGTCCTGTGGTCAGCAGAGGTGTAACTAAGCAGGAGTAGCCATGTCGGAAAATGCTCGACCATCTGTCTTCATTTTGTAACCTGAAGAATAATATATCACCAGTACTTGTAGAACTAATTTTGAATTTTTAGCAGCCCTTGGTCACACACTTGGGGAAGCCAAATATCCACAGGAGCCTTTGGCTGAGCAACATGTCTTGAAGTTCTTTCTTGCTGTCACTGTTGATCTTGTGTATCACACAGAAGGGTTTGTCTGAAAGACATTGAAGTTTGGTGTGTGTCCGTTAAGGCACAATTTGAAAATGCCAGGAGGAGGGTATGAAGAGTCTGTTGTACGAAGGACATAGACGAGGGCTTAGTGAGGCTTGTTGGATTTGGGGATTACCCTTGGCATTCAGAACCAGGGATGTGTCTCAAAGTGAGTGGAGTCTGTTCTTGTCTTACTAAGGACTCAGGCATAAACATGTTTGAAAAGCATCTGGACCAGTAATTCAGTGTGGATGCCACATGTGTGCGTTTCTGCTTGGTTGTGAATAAAGTCTGCGGTTTGACTGTGCTCCCCATCAGCCTGTGTCTCAGGGTAGCTGAGGCCTTGAGCGTGGAAAAGTGTTTCTTACAGATGGTAGTGGTACACATACCAGCCTGACCATAAGGTGCCTTTGGGGGATCCCGCATGTCAGTCCCCACCTGTCCCTGCTAAGGCAGGAGGTAGCCTTAGATGACTGTGTTTATTTCTCTCTTTCAAGAAAACCCGTTTCTGTCCCAGTCGGTCAGGTGGGCTGAGAAGAGAGTGTGGTGACCTAATGGCATTTGGCTAAGTTTTGGTATAATTTTTAATGTCTGCGTGATGATACTTTACCCAGCACATCTTCTGTTCCCTTCTCTCTTTCTTCCAGATAAGAATGGAAGTAAAAATCTTGGAAAATTTGTCTCTCCTCCTACAAAAGAGAAAGGACACATACAGCTCTCTTATTCTGATGGTGATGACTGTGGTAATAATAAGAAAATAACAACTAACATCACACTCGTGTGCAAACCAGGTACTGTCACAGAAGAAGAGGCCTGCGCACATTCTCCATCAGTGGGGTGGGAGGGAAAGGGGGGTGCAGTGCTGAGCACCCCTGGTTCTGGTCTTTGCTGATGGGAATCAAGTCGATCAGATTTCAGCCTAGAAATGGAGAAACCATATGTTCTCCTCAGGGAATTGTGTTGAAATTTTCCAGAGGAGTCGTGAGTCTCTGCATGACATCCTGTTCTTTAGGTCTGAGAGAGGATAAGGGTGTGGAATGCTGAACTTCCTCCAGAGGGTCATAAATGCCTTCAAATGTTTCCTGTATCTCACCATCTCAAATGTGCTTATCTCTCACTGAACTGATAA